CTCTCGTACTAAGCATATAGATACTAGGCATCACTTTGTTCGAGAGTTGGTTGAGGACAAACTTGCTATCATCGAACATGTTGCATCTGAGTTTCAACTTGCAGACATTTTCACCAAACCACTTGACCTAAACAGCTTTCTCCATCTGAGAAAAGCGCTGGGCGTGTGTGAACACTAAGTGCTGGTGTACTGAGATGACTGATGGAGCTTTTCGTGTCACCAAAACCCTTGTAGGCAAGTCACTCTCATTTGGTTGTGGATATCTTGTTGACTTTGCAGGCTCTCTGTCTTGGCTCAGTGTGATAGTCACTCGGATTGGACTGAGTTGCTACAACACCTCATGTCTGACTCCGATCACTGACTGGACTGAGTTTGTGGTGAGAGGTGATGTGCAAGTAGATCTCAGGTGATCTTGGTATGGCAACTCTGTCTGGGTTTCTTTAGTTGGAGATGTGTGAAAGCTCCTCAGCTGAGGGATGGCCGCACATAATGCTTGACAGAAAAAAAACAAAAAGGAAAAGAAAACAGGGGTTCAGCTCACTAGTAGCACAAAACAAAACAAAAATATAAAAAAAAAGGAACGGTACACTGATTGTGTTATATCGTGTGTGAATGCTCATCGGCTGAGGGTATGCAGCACATTCGTGTTTTGTCTGTGTGGCTGAATCCCTGTCAACTCTATGTTGTTTGATCACCTTGGCTGGGAGATGAAGTGCAGCTGTTCGAAAAATCACATCACTTACCTGACTGTCCATGCCTGAGATCCCCTGTGTGTCACAGTTGTTCTATAGCTGTTGAAGGTGATCAGTGAGGTGAAAGCTCCTTGGCTAAGGGTAGGCTGCCTCATTGAGCCTGCGAGGTGATTTCTAACTACTCCAAAACTTCCCACCTCAGTACATTTATCTTGTGTGTGTTTCACATGTCCTCAGAGTTCAACTTTGTTTTTTTTGTGGCTGTTCTCTGATGTTTGTGTATATCGTTGTTCATGATAGTTATGGGGTCCTCACCACTCTTGTACAATCCTGATCCTTAGTTCTTGGTTCGATTATCCTTGGTCTTTGGACCCATTTGTGTTGGCTTATGTTTACTTGGGCTGCTTTATGTTTTTCACAAATGAACTCTGTATGTTTCTGTTGGGCTTCTTGGCCCATTTCTCCTTGTGCTAATGTGTGGGATGAGTGTGTTTTTAGAGTTTTCTAACCTTCTTGCGGTACTTTAAAACCAAGAGGGTGACGATTCATGTGCCACAATCTCTTGCCTGTGCCACCTTCCGGTTCTCAAACCCTAGCTGAGACATCCTTCACCGCATCATGTCGCACAGCACTCGTTCCGCCACTGCCAAGCTGCTTGCCTCTGCAATCGAAGCTTCCCGTCGTCATCCGGCCGAAGAGGAGACCCTTGCTTCCGCTTTACTGCGCCTTCAGGCTAAGCGCAAGTCGCTTCAGCGCACTGGCAAGGAGCCGATTGAAATTCCTAGTGCTGACGAGAGTGGGGACTCCAGCGATGTCGCCGAATTTTGTCCGTTGTTTGCTGATGGGCCTCGCTCGCCGAACACCTTCTCCAATCCATTTGGTCAGCTCTCCGATGATGCCATGGCGGAAGACTCTGGTGATGATCAAAATGACTTCGTTGACTCTCGTGAGGGAAGTCATTTGCCGTACCTGGATCTTGAATCGTGCTATGCCGCCAACAGGAGGGACCAGATCGTCAACGATCGCATGCATCCAGAACTGACTCGTCCTCGTCGTCGTCCACACGCCAATTTTGCATCACTTGCGGCGAAGGAGAGGTTTGTGTCTTTTAGAGTCCGGCCGTTCCACAATCAGAAGTTCCTTCCCCTGGATGACCCCAAGCTTGTGGAAGCTCGTAAAATTCTGGATACTGCAGGCCTGATCCATACGGTGATTGATGTAGAGCCGTATCAAGCAACCGTGGTGTATGAATTCTATGCCAACCTCGCTGATCTGGAGTATCACAATGGCACCAACCTCATCTTCATCCATGACTCCATGTTTGAGTTTACTCCAAAAATCATCAACAAGATGTTCTTGATCACCGATTCACTACCGTATGGTGATTGGGAGCAGCTTAACATCGATGAGGCCGTGTCTTTGGTCTCTGGTGGTCGAAAAAATCGATGGGAAGGGTTCCGCTCTCGACACTTCACTCCGCTGTACGGTGTTCTTTACAAGCTGTGTTGTTGTAACTGGATGCCTACCACAAACAACACCACCATGGTGAAAGAGCGGATTCGGCTTTGGCTTACATCATTCAAGGTCACCGGTTCAACTTTGGGAAGATGGTCTATGATCAGATCATCTCTCCTGCTCGTACGCCGGAAATGTCGAATCACAAGCTCATGTTTCCGAATCTCATCTTTCAGTTGCTGCAGTTTCAGCGTGTTATCCCTGCGCATCATGGTGATTCGCCTCTTGAGGGCTTTCCGATCAAGATCACTTTGGATCCCAAAGCGGGGAAGGGCTCTGAGGATGATGAACCTCTTGCTGCACCGTCGTTAGCAGCCGATCTGGATCAGCTTGCTACTTGGCTCAAACGTGTTCAATTGCGAGTGCGAGGTAAGTCTTTCAGCCTTGAATCTGCTCTGTGTTATTGTTCACTGTTTTTGTTCTGAATATGCACTCAAGCAGGGGGAGAATATGCTGAACTTTTCCCTGTAAATGCGAATCGGAGTGGACCACACACTGAGGAGGAGCAGGGTGAGCAGGATGATGGGTCGGAAGATGAGAATGGCTGGGCAGGAAACTGAAATCTACCTATTTTATTTCATATGGTTGTTCTTTTGGATGTTGTCTTGTCGGTTTGGGTGTTTGAACCCTGATTGAAAACTAAGGATGTGTTTCTTGCATGTTTAGTGTGAACCTGGAAAACTTTTTGCTTGGTGTTGATGCAATGTTGAATTCATCGCATGTCATTTTCTTACTCATGGTTGGCTATTGTTATGTGTGGATTTGGGTTTGGTGTGTTTGTGTGTCCTTGCTGTTTTCTGGTTTGACAGGGTTGAAGCTGTGAGTATCATATTCAGACAAAAAGGGAGAGAATGTAAGTTTCAGGTTTGAAGACTCAGCAGACGGTGGGTGTGTAACACAGAAGGGACTGGAGCGCGGGAAACATTGTGAGATCAAAATCGGAAGTGATGACGTGGCATGTGAAGATATACGGATCTCGTACAAGAAGATTTAAGGATCTTAACAAGAAGGAAAGAAGATATACACCGAAGAACAAATGGGAGGTGGTATATATTTGGCACGAGTGTACCTGTGTTAGGTTAGCCGTTTTGAGAAAGATAGAAAGGATCATCACAAGAGACTAAGCAAAATAGTTAGGGTTCTTGGTGAGTGATCATTTTTGTAGAAGCACAACCTAGTGTGCAATAGGTTGGGTAGATTAAGGATTGGTCAGTGTCGAATTGCTGAGAGCAAAGTCGTGTAATGATTAGACAAATCTGTCAAGATTGTCTAAGTGATTTTTAATTCAAGAGTATTTGTTTTTGAAGATTATTGTTCTACACATAAATCTCCGTGTCTCAGACTCTTCATTGCAAAGCTTCTTTCTGGCTGTCCCATGCTTGAGGAGCTATTTCTGATGTATCCCCCGTGGGATTTTTGGAATTCTTGCTCTGCCTCTATCACAACCCTTAAGAGACTAACATTTTTTTGTCAGTTAATGGATGAGAATCCAGAGAGTGTGTCATTTGATACCCCTAATCTTGTATACCTATCATACTGTGATACTATTGCGGATAAATATCCAAAAGTCAATTTTGATTCGCTTATTGAAGCTGAGATTAGTCTTCGACTTACAAAACATCAGAGTGCACATGCAAGCCTTCTAGAAGAAGGAATGGTAGGAAATGCTACGGATTTTCTTCAGAGAATGCGCAATGTTCAGATACTTTATTTATCTGCCGAAGCACTTGAGGTCTGTAAAAAAAACAACCTGGAACTCCAATATCTTTTGTTTTAGTTAGGGTAACATTTTTTTAAAGCTTGAGTTAATGATCACAAGTGAGTGATGATCATTTGTTTCTGTTTCAGGTACTTACATTCTGTTGTGAAGCAACACCTGTATTCAAAAACCTGATATTTAACGGGTTACTCGGTTGAGAGTAACCGGAGAATAGGATGGGAATCATTGCCAGGTCTGCTCAAGAATTGTCCAAATATAGAAACCCTTGTTATGATGGTATAAAAGAAAACTTTTATTTATCAGTTACATGAAAAAAAATAAAAGAGAGAATACAACTTAACTCTGAAACATTTCCTTTATTCTTCTTCAGGGTCTCGACCACAAGTATTACAATGTATGTGGGTACGCGTGGTGCTGTGAAGGCATGGAGAATACTCCTTGTTGCTTTTCATGTTCTCCTGTGAAGGTGCTAAAGTATCTATATATGGACACATCGGGATGGAAATAGAGCAGATCAAGCATTTCTTGGAAAAAATGCCGGATCTTGAACCGTTGATGATAGCATACAACAAAATCAACAACAGTACAACACATCAAATGACCATGCTGGTAATGTGATTGAATTATCCAAGAGGCTTCAGGAGATTCCAAAAATGGCTTCACCGAAGTGCAAGATCCAAGTAATCTCTGAGAATCGAAGAAATGGTCTGGCTAAACTCAAAAGCTAAACTCAAAAGCAATCAAATTTTCCTCTGTTGTTACTGTCGTTTGTTCTTTGTTTAGCAACTAGTTTAATGAAGATTATGAGTTCTGTACTCGTGTTAGATGTTTCTTAATTATGTATTTGACGAATCGTATCAGAGTTTGGTTACTCTGTTTTTTTGTCGGTTATTGATTACTCTGTTTTTTTGTTGTTATCTATTTAAGAAATAAACAACTAATCGGTAATTGGATGCAAGATCCTCGAGCCCAACTCGATTTGGATCAAGATTCAAGATTCATATTTTTGATTTTTTCTATATATTTCTTTTTCGTTATCAGAATGATAATGATAATGAACTTTTCACCTGAAATCTCAGTCTCTTGTTCTCATGAATCTCCTCTAATGTTTTAACCGAATCTTTGAACCAAAATCTATACAAGAATATCGAAAAACTCAATATTACCCTTCACTCTTCGCCACCGTGATTTCTCCTCTCCTCTCCTCCTCCTTCCTCCTCCCTCCGCCGCAGCAACACAGCCAGCTAAAACAACCGGCACAGCAGCAACAACTCCGACAACAACACTCAAACTCGGGGCATTTTAGACATTTCCAACAAGCGCATTTCGGACACTTGGGCTTCTTCTTCCCAAAGCAGCTGCAGCAGCATTTGAACTTGGGACACCAACAACCAACGCAGCTCGGTTTCTTGCAGCAAGAGAAACATCCTTTCAACGACGGACACGAACACTTGCAACATCCCTCGCATTCGCCGAAACAATCGCAACTAGGCTTAGGACACCGAGGGCATTTTGGTCTGCACAGTCCAAAACTACTACAACATCCTCTGGATTCGTCTCGTCTATTGATTTCTTGCCAAATCTTCTTGAGACGAGACTTGGTGGTTGTGTTCTCCATGTCTTGTATAAACCGGTAGAGATGTCTAATGTAGTCCGGATAGATCTCGAGGTTGCAGTGTCCACCTCCTTTGATCCAAAGCGGCTCATACGGTTCTTTGGCCATTTTCCAAAGCCTGTTTCCGTGTAGCCAATTCACCACATCATCCTCTGTTCCCTGCATAAAATGATAGATAGCAATAAAGATCAGTAAAGCTTCTCCGACTCAAATAAGGCCAAAGCCAAGAAAATGGACATGAGACCTGAGATAAGAGTTTGCTTACGTGTATGACAAGAACCGGACATTTCACTTTCTTGATCTTGTTTACGTTCTGCAATGAAACAAGAATCAGTAAAAGGATAGTACATTAGGAGCCCAAGACCGGTTAGCTTCCAAATTAGCCATAGTCACTTGTGAACCGGTTAGCTTCCAAATTAGCCATAGTCACTTCTAAACAGCCTAGCTTCCAAATTGGCTAGTCACTTCTAAATCGGTTAGCTTCCTAATTAGCCACAGTCACTTTTAAACCAGATAGCTTACAAATTAGGCTATCTACCTTTCATCAATCCACAAGACATATGCGGAATTCGGTTCATGTAAAATACCGGTTTATCGACAAGTAAAAGGCGGCTCCAGAAGAAACTATATGCCCTTACTTAACTAGCATGGTTTGGTCATTCAAAGCCCATAAACAAGCATAACAAAAAGCTGAAAGAGAAAGGGATCTTTACCGAGTAAATGTCACAGCAAAACTTGAACTTGACATGACATAGAACACGAAGACCAGAGAGAATGCCACTATGAAGAACCACACCTCTAAGCCGAGGAAGCTTAGATGCAAGATGCAACGTCGGTCCACTACCAACGGATTGACCATACAAGATCAAATCCTCTTGATCAACCCCATATTCGGTTTGCAAACATTCGTAAACCGCCTCTATATCCGCATATGTATCATACTCACTCGGCTGCAAAGCACCAATTATAAACCACAATTGGTCAAGAGAATTCTCAAACCAATCGATCAAAATACGCAAGTATGGCCTGATCAATCAATTCATGTGTCAATAATGGAACATTCCTAAGCTCTATGATATTGGTACAGAACATTCCAACAACTTAGGAAGGTATTGACACACCTTACCGGTAGAGGCTCCGTAGCCTGAATAATCATACCTGAAAATTTAAAAAAAAATGATAACAAAAATAAAATCAATACTCTAAGCAACGACAAAATAAATGAGCGTCATAAATTGACCCATATTGATTAACTCGAATGAAAGGATTCAACGTTATAAAAAGAATAAATACAAATTGATGGTGGTAGTTGAGAAATTTTGAATTGAATTTTGAAGTGTAAACCAAAAAGTCAAATTAAGGAAGATAAAACGTCGATAAAAAAAACACCAAGCATTTAACTAAAACTAAACAAAAATAACAAAAAGAAAGATAAAGAAAATTTGTCGGAAACGACACCAAATCTGAGCTTTTTGGGCAACGAGACAAGAACCCATTTCCCAAAAGCGTGAGCTTTCTCAAGAAAACTAAAGACATGACAAAATAATTGTTGAAGGAAGAGAAAAAATGTGAAGCTTTAACTAACATAAGAAATTTTAAGTTAGGAGTAAAGAAATTAAAAAAAAAAAACTAAAATTTAGGGGAAAATATGCTTAATTGGCTATATTCATTGATAAAAAAAAAAATCTGTCTTTACAGTCCTCAACATTAAAAAAAGGATTAACATTTCCAAGACAACCAATTAAGCCTAAGATATTTGCAAAATACGAAACGACGACGTATTATGAGTATGAACATCTAAGACAGAGAGAGAGACCCCATGAGATTGACTCGGAGATTGACTTTGAGTTGAACGAAGAGATCGAAGAGTTGTCCCAAATCTGCGGCATTTCCATGGGAATAGAGAAGTGTGAGTCTCGCGTTTGGGTTTCTCAGGTAAAAAGCTGCGACTTTGTTCCCGCGTCTCGTCTTCACCACTCTCACGTCGAGAGACGTGTCTCCGGCGGCGGGAAAAGTGGAGGAGGAGGAGGAAGCGGAGGAGGAGACGGCGGAGAGTTTTCCGTCAGGGGTTTTGGTGAGGTGGTAGGTGGGAGGAGAGGGAGGGAAAAAGGCGAATTTGGCGGCGAGGTGAGAGAACATGCACCCCATTTATATCACGGCGGAGATTCCAAAGCTCTGTGCATCAGTCCGCCGTTAGAGAGAGAAACAGAGTAAGGAAGAGAAAAGAAGACAGAGAGTGAAGAGAAAAAATAGAGAGATAGAACGTAAAATGGTAAACTACAAGAAGAAGATAAACAGAGAGATTAATGAGGAGCAAAGAGAGAGAGAGAGAGGAAGGCTCTGAGTATGAGAGAGAACAGAGGAGGAAGAAGAAGAAGAAGAAGAAAGAGAGAGAGAGAGAGATGTGTGTGTTTGTGTAAGCGTGTGAGAGTGAACGTGCGTTTCCTAGGTAATTGGTTAGTGCTCTGTCTTACTGTTTCTTCTTCATTTTTATTTTTACTAATTGTTTTTCTCTTCATTGATTTCTCTTTATATTATTTGTTTTTTGATTACCAAATTACCATATGTGCTAACTGTAAATATTTAGGGAATTTTTAATTTTTAAATATATGGAGCAAAACGTTGCAAATGGACTTCACTTCATTGCTTTGTCGGCTTTCGCCTAACTCCTCCTTTTTTGCTAATATTCTTTTAATCTTTTTTTTGTCCATTATTATAGAATAAACTCACTCATTTTTCTTGCAAATTGTTTGTTGAATTAGTTTTCCTAATTCCAAATCAAAAATGTAGTTTAGTTTCTTTTTTAGTTTTTCCTATTTTTGAAAATCATGATGTAATAACGCCAGTAATAGTAGTGCCAGGGTTAAAATTTTATCAAATCAATTTATAGACGATGTTTCCGTTAAAATTCAGTGATGTCTTCTTCTTTTTGTTAACAAAAACTTCGAAAAAAATATACAGGGGAACTATATATATGCATATATATTATTGTTAACAGAAAAAAAAAATTATAGAAAGAAAAAAACTGACCTTTCTTTCATGTCCTAGCTTAGCTGACAGCTTTATGTTTCCATACTGAAAAATAGACTATTCATGTCATGCTATTCGAGTTTCCAATGGCTTCACTAGAGAATATCTAAATAAACGAAGCAAGTAAACAAAATAAAATGTAAATGTCAACATATCAAATGGTAAAAATTCTAACTAGCGTTATTTCTTTGCCATTTCAAATGAAACGTTTACAAAATATAATTTTCCAGATAAAAAAAATTATAAATATTTAAAATTTATAAATTACAGAAAAAGCGATAAATAAGTTGCTTTTATGGCTAACACATTACACATCTATGCGTGGAACTTTTCTTTCAAAAATAGCATGCTGTACACAGTAGAAATCTGTTTTCAAATAGTGTCAACCACCGTGAAGCAGCAAATGGAACCGCAAAGAATGTTTATTTTGCGCTTACCATGTCTACCATAGAACAAACGCAATAACAACGTCGCCATTCACATATGTTTACTTAGCTAGTAGTTTTTAGCAAAAAAAACAAAAGTTTACAGTAAGAATGTGCAATGTTTTTTTTTTTCTTCTTATTCTAAGTTGTACATTGTCATGAGACTCATAACCATCGTTGTCCAAGATATGTTTTGTGTTTGTCTAATGTTTACCGATGTTTGCTAAGTTGCAAAAAAACTGTAATTCTAAGCACAATTCTGATTGTCCCAAATATACAACATTAAAACGGTAATTAGAGACTGAATCCAAATGACGCACTTTCAAAAGTCACCAAGTATACAAATAAATATCCAAGCTAATCAGTTAAGGTGATTGGTTTTTGATGATTTACAACAATCTAAGTGCGGATGATACTAAACAAGAATCTAAAGCAGTAGGCTAAATATACAATTAAACTGCAAGTAAATTATCAAGCGGGTGAGTGAACGAGATAAAAGTCAATTATGATGAAATTTGGCCAATGTGTAAGGTTATTGATAAGGCATGAACCCATGGTTACTTATTGACACTAGACTCTCAAGCAAATTCATCTTCAAGACAAAAGAATACTTATGAATGGCTTATTCACTTCCGTGAGACCAATCATTTGCAAATAAACTGGTTAAGCTAAATTTTCATATGGTTTTGATATGGTAGGAATAGGATATATCTTGGACATATATGAAAAAAACAATATGTTCATTTAAGATTTTTGAATAAAAATGGTTTATCTCTATACTAATAAAAGGTATGAAGTAATAGACCGATTTTTTTTAGTCTCTTTTGTAAACGATTATTTTATAGTTAAGGTCGATATTATTAAAATCTCTACTAAAAGTTACGTAGCTTTATATTGTTGTGTATGTTTCTAGTTTGATGCAGAGTGACAGACCCACATTTATTAATGTTATTTGATGAGAAGCATGTAACGGGACCTTTCATTGTTCACCTATCGTCCAGACACATGCAATAATTGCATGTTTTTTGTCTATCTCATTATAATAAAACAATGAACAAAATCCATCCAAACAAATATTTCTATTAATATCTATAACTTTTGAATTATATATATGGTTTGGGGAAAGCCACAAATACTATATAGTTTCAACTGATCAAATTTCTTGTTTCATTTAGCAAATATTTGTACTTAATTTTCCTGAACATTACAAATTGAGAATTCATGCGTTGGCACACACAAAAAAAAAGTTGATAACTCATTTGTTTCCAACATTGTATTTCAAATTCGAATCACAAAAGAACGGACATGTCACCGAGCTAGGGAGACAGGTCGACGGTGGCGCGTGATCTTAACGAGGGATATGGCGCGTGGAATTAAGAAAGAAGAAACAATTTTATTTTTCAATTTTGAGTGTTGAGATGTTGTTTGACTTTGGGCCATCTATGGAGAAGAGAAGAAGAGATCTGTATATGACTCTGGTTCGTAGCTGGGTCCCACCACCACAAGCTTATCAGTTTGCTTACTATTTTAGATTTTGTACAAATCTGTTTCCTCTTTTGTGGTCCTCTCCTTGTTTTCCCACTCCTGTTCTGCCACGTGCCTTACGCTGATTTAATTAAATCAATATTAAAGTACAACATGTTAATTTTTTTTTCCCTTTGCCTTGCAAACACGAATGAAACTGAAGACTAGAAAATATTTTTGGTGTAACTGACTAGTGTGTAGTAGAGTAGCAAGTAGAAAACAAAGAGATGTTGCTCACTTTTTTTCATGGATTCCACAGAGTTTGTGAAAATGGTTTCGGATGTGGATGACGATGATAATTAGCCGGATCCCGGATTTTGCATTGAAATTGTTGATTTTTCAGTCCTTGAAAGAAGTCAATTTCTTGAATTTGAGCTGATCTATGAGGGTCGGACACATACTGTTTTTTGTTAAAGAGAAAAAGGACAAATATTGTTAGGACCGGTTTGTTGGAAAGAGATTATTTTGTTTTGTTAGAAATTGTATTTTATGTTTGCTATTTACTGAGATAGAGAACAACATTTTCAAGTAATTAATAAAGAAGTCCATTTTGTTGTTAAAAAAACAAATTATACTACACAACCTAGCAAACATATCACGGGAGAGTAATTAAGGCTAAATCAGTTTTGCCTAAAAACTTCAATGAATCACAAAGGCAAAATTAATAATGATAGGTAATTATTAGGGAGATTATGAATTTAAAAGATACCCGATGGTGGAAGGCACAATTACTAATGCAAAGCAAATTAAGTGGACTTATAATACGACTAAGAAACATCTCGTCACTTAATTACCGTACTATTAATTTGATCAAATCATGCTTTATATACTGATTAGAGCATATATCATAATTATTAAATAATATTCAATATGTATTTTAAATTAATATTTTAAAATTTTTAGAATACAATATTAACAAATAAGTAAGTAACAAGTGATGATTATATTAATTTTTATAAAATTATATAAAAAAAAGTTTGAAAAAAATTGAAAAGAAAAACCCGCACGTTACGTGCGGGTATTTACCTAGTTACTAAATAATGAACCTTTTTCCCCTAATACGTAAACAGTTTTATTGTAGATATTTTAAAGTTAGCCAAAAATGTTATAGGTTATGCAAAACTTTACTCATGCTGGTTATTCGATTATCAGAAAGTTTGTTTATTTCTAATTATTCAGACTTTAGGTTATGGTTATTCGTTGGTTTTTCTTTTAAATTGGTTGGTACAAGGGAGCAATGGTGAATTGTTGACACGCGAATCAAAATGACAGATTCAGTAAGCAAATAAAATTTAATGTAATTACAAGAAACAAAAGCATAAATGAAACTATTTCATTTTTTTTTTCTTGAAAAGTTGGTGGACAGGCGGAGTGAGCTAACTGTATCAATGTGAAATCAAATACTAGTAACTATCTAGGAAAAAAATGTTTAATAAGAATCTAACAATTTTATGTATTTTTACCGAGTATTTCGTGTGTAACTAATTAAGCTTGCTAAGAAGAACCAAAGAACCAAGTACGTATACTTGTATTGATTATTGAATAATAAAATCGTAAGTCTGGGAAGGCTTAAACGTTACTCTTCTCGTTACAACGAGGATTCCAACATCGATACATTTATGTATTCAAGAAAAAATTGCGAATAACACAAATAAAAACAGACTAAATACCGATCGATAAACGAGTAAATAAATACTCCCAAATTAAAAACTGACAAAAGACCTATAAAAAATGTAAACAAGGTTTGAGAATGTGAAACGATTCGAGAGGCACGTGCGATGAAAAATCGCATTAAATCAAGCAACTAATAAAAAAGTGTACAAAAATTTAATATACAACTAATAGGGGTGCATGCCCTTCGCTGGGACTCGTGCACCCAAAATTTCTATATGCCATTTGTAATTATGGTTTATCGTAAAAGACGTGAGTATAAAACAACGTTAAGTATTTTAAGTACACATAAGAAACGTTAAATAAAAACCTTCAAGTTAAATTCAATTAGTCCATCCAAAAATACTCAAGATTGGTTTGTTGCCAAACAAGTTTGATCTAGCTTTCAAACGTAATACATAACTTTTTTTTAACCTTTAACAAACTTTTTTACCAAGATAAATTATCACTTTTTGTGAAATCGGTCAAATTCTACAAGGCAAATAAAAGTTTTATTTTTGTCATCTAGTGAAGTTGTGCATTTTACAAGAATAAAAAACCCCAGTTTTCCCTTAGAAAAAAAAACCTAAAGGAAAAAGAACAAAATCACTTTTGTGTCTTTAGGTTGTCACGAAAGAGGTGATTGTACTCGTGATAACTATTTGTGGATATCGAGCTGTGAAAAGTGAAAACCACAGTAACTTTTCACTTGCAAATTGCAGTCACAAGATTATTGATCCGGAGAATTGATATGTGTACAATAGTGGACCGAAACAGTAGAAAACTAGAAATAGTTCTAAAGGAAAAGTTTAACATAAGTTCTAATTGAATGAGATTTTTTGTTCTGTTCACTTATCATAAAATGGTCAATTCATCCGTAAAATCGCATAATTTATATTTCTGTATTACTTAGAAGATACAATTTGTGGTGTCCATCATGTTTTTAACAGTCTTGGTAGCGATGGTGTGCTCTCCATCTTTGATTAGAGAAAGACTAATCCGTGCTAGAGTTTAAATAAAAGTAGAACGAGAAAGAAGAATAAGGTACAATTACGAATCATAGACTTTGGCATCTATATGCAGAAATATAAGGAAAAAGAAGAGACAGATTTGATAGTTGGTATTATTCATTGATCACACGATTCTTTTTGTTTTTTTTGGTTAAATAACACACGATTCATTTGATGCTACATTTACATTATTTTCAAACAAATCTAAAAAAAAATAGTGTACATCACATCAACTTGAAAAAAAGGAAAAAAATGGGAATGATTACAATGATGAGAGAGTTATACAACCAAACTTAATTGATTTTGATCAGTAATTAATAGTAAGGAAAGTGTTAAATTGTTGACTAAATGTCTAAAAACAGATGATAGTTTGAGTGGTGTTGTCGCTTTCCATTTTATTCTAATCCGTAATTACTGAAATGAATAGAGAAAACCAAATTTGGTAATAGAATAATATTTATCTTATATACCTCAATGATTTTGCTTTTTTGAGCTTGAGTATTTATTTCTGAAAATCAGAAAGTGAGAGGTGATAGTGGAAGAAGAAAACAGAGAAGAGACACGTGATATACAGAGGCAGAAGCTTTGAGAGTATTTGTGACATAAGATCCAAACAAACCCGACACTCCACTCTGTCAACTTGCCAAGTAACAGATACAGTACACACACACACTCTTTACGCGGTCTTAAAGTTTAGATCACAACTAAATTGTTTCATTTGAGTTAATGGAGAATATTGACCTAAAAAGATGGAATCATTTTTTTAAGACTTTCACTAGAATGCAATAAAACAAGTTTTCTTATTTTGTTTCTTTGTCACTTATTCTGAGCAAAACCCACAATTTCGAAAAACTGACAACGCCCAGAAGATGTCGATGGAAATATTGAATTCGAATAAAATCATATAAGCAATGAGTATTGTGAATTATTCGAGCTCTATATAGTAGGAAGCAAAAAAAGAAGAAAGAATATTACATATGAAAGCATATGTGATCTAAAAAAGAGAGCCTAGCAAGAGAGTATTATGTCTCTCACTATTCATATGTACACAAACCAACTTTTGTTCCTACGTTAGAAAACCAACGTACCTGTTTCTTTCTTTCTTTCTTTCAGGGAGGCTTTGGATTTTTTCTCTCTTTTTTTTTTTTGGTTTTCAAAATAACGGAAAAAAACTCCCTACGACAACGTGTAAGAATATATCTTCATTTCGAGTATTTCCATTGATTGTGTATCCTGCATATACATGAACAATTTCTTTTTTTCCCTTCTTATATTAAAAGTTACAAATTTTTTGAGACGAAAGATATAATGGTTTTTTGAAGTGTTACCTTAAAATGAGAGATTAATTCCAGGGTTGTGACAAGGAGACCGTTGAAGTTGATGCTTCTAATCCTCTTCTATGATGGATCGCAGAGTTCAGAGTCTTGTATTGTTCGTTGACCGAGTTGTACAGAGCTTGGCTGTATGCTTCTTTCGCCTGCCATACACAGTAAATTTTTTTATATAACCATGAGAAAGACAATGGATCTTTGAAACGAAAGAAAATTGAGTTAATAGACAGACCTCGTTAGGGTTGTTGCAGTCTGATGTGACATCTGCGAAGCTGATTTCAGGAGCTATTGATAGTCCAGTACCGTGATACCCAACTAATCTCTTCTCTCCAATTTCTTTCTCAACCTGGAGATGAACAATAAAAAGTGATGAGAGTGAGAGGGACTCAAACCAGAAGAAGCTCAGAACGGAGAAGAGAGAGTGAGAGGGAGCAAGCAATACTTGTGGTGGAGGCGGCATGATGTCATAGCAAAGCAAAGACATTGGATAGATATGTCCAGGAGCACCAGAATGTTCAACCAATCTTCTCATGTTGTCCACCGAAGAAGAATCAAAGGGTGCCTGAACTTTTTAGATCAGTATATATATTTGCAAATCTTACCAGACACAGATAAGATTATTATAGTCCAATCAATAACTTACAGGAAACCATTCTCCTGTAGAAGGATTCGGGCGGTCCCTTCCACCACTTGGTGCAATCCATATAAGTTGGGAGCCAGACCTGCAGTGAGGTTCATGCTATTAGCAGACTAACATTAACACTTTTCTTTTTTCCCTCTACTTCTCTGAGATCTAATAAGAAAATTCGTTATTTAGTTCCAGTAACCTTAGCAGTGTAGCCATCTCCTTCAAGCTTCGTGTGTTTGCTTTTCTTTTCATATCAACAAGCTCCGGATCATCGTTCATGTGCTTTTTCGAGTAAACACATATGAGATTCCTGAAAGCAGGAGAAACCCCCAAGAGTCATACAAGGTTGCTTAAATTACACTTCAGCTCATCAGGTGGCATACCATTATCGAAACAAGGGTTATGATACCTTCCCATACTAAACGGCTTACAAAGAGGATCAGTAATGACTCGATCACCAGCCACACATTTCTGCAGCCAAAGAAAAGGGATAAGTATAGAGACAATTGCAAATAGAAGAACTCAGAATAAGGCTCGTAGACTCACAATGTTCTCTCCTATGTAAGGACATTGTGCTTCAAGTAACAGTGAAATGACAGCTGGATCAGCTTCACTTTGGTGATTTGATATTAACACGATATTGTGTCCCTGAAATCAACCAGTAAAACGTTAAATCCTAAATGGAAAGGAACTCAAACATTGATGGAAGCAAAATACATTAAAAAGGCTTCACGTCAGTTAACTAAGAGCACAAGAGAGAGGGGAGAGGACCTGCCGAATCTTGTCTTCCAGCTCAGTGAAAATAGAAGCATTTCCAACGTAAGAATTTCTGCATAAATAAATAAATTAAGGATCCATTGACACCGAATCAAACGAATTAGAAAGGATAAAAAATTCTAATTGCATTTCAAAAACAGATCATATAAGTCTATGAGTCAAGATTCCAGCTTACTTGAAATCAATTAGGGGGCGGATGTATGTATGGACAAATTGATAGTAGTCAAATGGTTCTCTGATTGCTTTATGATATGGATTAAAAGTATAAGGATCCTGAAAAATCCACAGCAAAGGAAGCTCAAGTAACAGAGAATTCAGATGATTTCTTGATGGATTCCAAGAGATTGATGGAAAAGAAGTACCTCCACACCAAGAAGCATGCGATCAAAAGCAACAGACATGTTTGATATAACAGTCTCATCTGCCCTGGAAGCTCCACTACTTAATACCTAAAATCATCAGTGAGAAGGTAACAGTTATTGAAATGAAAAGTTCACTGAGCAAATAAATGGCAAAGCATAGCACCAATCGTACAAACTAATGAGTGATAAAAGCATTTCAATTACTGCATTTTTGTAGTTCCAATATAATTCTTCCATCCCTGATGCTACATTTGCAGGCAACCTTCCAGCTTCTTTTTCCTTCCTGATACCAGATATTAGATCTGAAAATGGACATAAAGGCATTGTTACACATTTTCAAGTCAATGTGTAACTCCCACATTTTCAAGTCAATGTGAACTACAGAATCCGAACAAGCTCTTTGGCTAATGATAAAGAAATCCTTGGTTTGCATCCTCGATAGCGAAAACATATTCATTTAACGCGTGGAGCCATTATAACAGTAATGGAGCAAGATCAGAAGCAAAGATGCAAGAAACAAAGAACCGTGAAAAGAAACTGATTAACAAATTGTGAAAGAAGAGCTCAATTCAATAACCTTATCCAGTCAAACAAGAAAGAACGTAGAATTTCAATTTCGCTTATACTTCCGTAATCGAACAATCACCATATTGCGAACTACGATTAGATTATGAAGATTATGAAACAATCAAGGAATCGAACATAATCACCATAATGTACAACCTCCATAAGTTTCGGATTCCCGTCACCGAATTTCTCTAACCGTAAGGAAGTCAAATTCGAATTCCTCGGAGAAGAAGAAGAAGACTACTAACCTTCTTCACTTCGCGCATCCAAGAAAGTACGGGAATGGTTGAGCTCACTCGGCGTCGTATTACTCGTCTCTTCGGCATCATTGAAAGAAGTGCTCGCCGCGACGACGGATTCCTTATCCTGAACAAGCTCAGACATCGCTCTCACACTCAACGACGATGAGCGTCCGCCGCCGCCACCGCTGCCGCGAGAACGAAGAGGCAGCTTCTTGGCGGTTAATCTGAAGGAAACGAAGCCGCGAACAGTCGGGGAAACGAGTGGATTAACCGGAACCCTAGCGGAGGAAGTTACGGTTGCAGCAGCAACGGCAACGGTTGCGGCGGAGGAGGAAAATGTGAGGGGCATGAGAGTCATTAATGCGTGTTTGGTGATTGGACGAAGCAGAGCGTGTGTGTATGTGTGTGTGAAGGAGATCGCTTCCTCACTTTTTATTTATCCCAGGAGTCTCTTCCTTCTCCAACTTTTTTTTTTATCCACGTTTTTATATAATTTTTTTTTTTTGGGTTTTCACCAAATTATAAAACCTCATATATCTGTTTTTTCCCTCTCCTTTAGTAGAAGTTGCGTCAGTAATGTAGTATGTACAATTCTAAATTACTAAAATGTGGATATTCAAGAAGACCAAAATTAAAAACCTCATATCTTAATATTGTTTCCCTTATTAGTTGCTTCCGTACTTGTATTTGCCTTCTTCTTGGTTTGAAGAGGCCATATTTGTATGTACATGATTTATTTATTTTATTTTTTTTTGTAAAAAATGTACATGATTTATTGATATCTAAATTTCATGTGACATCAACAACAACAAAAGTTACGTAGCTATTATAAATTAATAAATTATGGAAACTGTTGAGACCAAAAGAAAACTTTCTAACATCCTTTCCCCTTAGTTGCGTCATTTGTTGCTTTTTTGTTCTGAAAATTAAATGGAATTCGTTTGAAGAGGTCATATTTATGTGTACACGTAATGTTATTTAAATAGAAGTCATGAAACAAATTTAAATTCATAGTTGACTAACACTAAGCTATGGGTCAAAGTCAACTGTAATTTTTTTTTTGGTCATAGTCAACTGTAGTCCAGATCTATGGTGTTTCATATTTTCATATTCCCTCCTGATGTTTTTACACATAATAGATAAGGTTCAATTATTAGATTCGCTTTTTTGTTTCTTATGAAAGATGTAGTGAGTTTGTTTGTGTGACCTGAACGGCACAGAACTCACACACCAACTTGAAGATTGAGATTATAAACACGTGTAAGCTTACAAGTGGTCAGAATATAGGCATAGCGAACCAAGGGTCCCATGACTGCATGAAAATGTTATTGAGATACTAAAAGTTTGATTCTTTGACAATAACATAAAATATCTCAAACTACAGTTTTGATTCCAAGTGACACCTAAAAACTCCAGTATCTGAAAACATGAAAACAACCTGTAATAGGAGAAGGAAACCTATCCAAGGAAGTTGATGATCACCAAGTGGAGGACCAAGTTGCAGAGGACAAAATCAGCAAATGCTCGCTCCGGTGCCAAATCCTGCAGTTTTCGAAGCAAGAGGTCGATAACTTTGGATACTATACATTGCACGAATCTTATGATAACGTGACAATATTGATTGTGTTTAGGCTGAGTGATAACCCTTAAATGCGATCAATGATAAATTTCTCAGAAAACTGATGTCTAAGGTGGTTAAGTGATAAGAACCTTGCATATTTCTTCGAAATTGATGTGCTTAGAACCAAGAGATTATTGTGCGAGAATCTCTAAAACTCTCCCACAGACCCGACTAAACCATAGAAAAATCCAGAATACCTAAACAGTTTCTGCCTAGTTTCCTTATAAACAGCCATCACACAGCAAACAACTGACTTAAAACTCTGTTATGAAACATAGCCACATTTCCCAACAAGGTTACTTACAGTAGTCATGCACTATACTAACAAGAATGCCTATTCACTATGATTTCAGTGTCAAGATGGTTTACAAGGAAATGCTTGAGTGTACATGAATAAGAGGAGGGAGTTGAAACATTGGCGTTGTGATGACAAAAACTGAAATTTTCATCTAATTTGCATGTTAAAGAAAACTGAGAGTTTCATCTAATTTGTTCTAAAATGGTATAGTGTTACCTTGAATTCCTTGTTTTCTTTGTTCACTTGAATCCGGAGGCACACTACAAAACACAAAATAAAGAAGATTTATAGTTTTACACATTCTCAAGGTATAAGTATTTGCCTGTTGTAAGATATACGCTAAACTTACCAGCAAGAACTGCTGTTCCGATACAAGAGAGAACTCCAGATAGGAATGAGTTAAATGGAAATGATCCCACCAAAGCCATATAAGCAACCTGTTCAGTCAAAAACCAAGAGAAAGCTTTAGATATTAACACTCAGTAGCTAGGTGCTTGGTCTTTTGCCATTCACTTGCTAGTGAACCAATGAAAAGAATTTAAAAGTTACTCATGAGCAACAGAGAACTCAATTTACTTATCCATGAACTTTGAGCTAGTGAAGTACGTCAAGACACAAAGAACAAGGGATACTTCATTTCCTCAGATAATTAGAGTGGAAATTTTGATCATGAATCCATTAAAACACAGAAAAATTTATCATTTCAATGAAGTTAAAGCAAAACAAAAGACTGATGCGTAACAGAACAAACCCATTTGCAGAACAACTCTATAAAACTACATTGCGATTTGAAGTTATAGTTTTTCATAAGCAGATTTTTGATCTAAATCAATACCTATTTTACAATATCCGATATAAGGGTTCGAGATCAGGAAAAACCATTAAATTCAGTTAATAAAAACCTGAAATAGTACAACAGATCCATAAGAAATCTAAAGCTTCGTGCAAAAACAACTCCAGAATCGCAGATCTAGAAACCATAATTCAAATAGATTTAGAGTACCTGAATCAGAGCAGTGAAGACGGCGAAAACGACATACAAGTCGATGATCTGCAAATTTAAGTTCCATAAAGACATTCAATGTTGAGAGAGACCATTGATCCACACACAAAAAAAAAAACGAAGGAAGGTTGAGAGAAATTAACAATGGCGAACCTTCAGATTAGTCGGAGTAGCCGAATAAGCGGAACGAAGAGAGCGAAATAGATCCTGAGCATCCTTACTTGTCGATTTCACCATTTTCGAAGATTAAGCAATCACAAATCCCTTTTCCCTCTTTCTTCTACTGTCTTCGTCTTCGTCTTCGCGAGTCTTGAAGACTAACATCACTCCCTCTTTACGAACTTCTATCTACGGCTCGTTTCATCTAGCGGGCCGATGTAAATCTGGTTTGGGCCTTATTCCCCAACGGCGACGTTTTCATAGAATGGATTTAAACCAATTAAAATAAAATTTAAGTATTAGCCAAAATAAATAAATAAAAAATTATTTTTGTGTCTCGCTTGAATTCCGACAAGTCGGTACTAAGTAACCACAATTTTCTCGCTTTGCCGTCTTCTCCGGCGATTTTCAGACACTAGTTTCTCTCCTAAAATTTCAGTTGTTAAATTCAAATATCTACAGTAATTACTGTAACTAGAAACCGGAGAATGTCGTTTCTCAGTTTTCCGGCCATTTCACCTCATCGACCTGTTTCTTCCGGCGCTTCATTTCGTCCTCGCTCTTCATCTCCCCGGTCACACTCTCTCTCTCCCTCTCTTATAAACTATGCTTTTTTTTTTCATTGAATTTCATGGAGATTAAAATATGTGCATTGGGGTTTTGAAAGTTAAGATCTTTTGTAGTATTCGGTAATCAATTCACAGAGTCTCTGAATCCTTGAAGTCAAAAGATGAAAAATTGATAGCTTGTTTATCAAATTTCACACTAGAGAGCTCTTAAGACTGTAACAATGCGAAATGAAGCTTCTTTTTGTGTGTGTTTTGTTTTTACAGATTGTTCAAGTCTTGTGTTAAGTGCAGTTATGCTGAAGCTCCAATTGACATTGTGGCAGATATCAAATCCGAAAGGGTATAAACTCGAAAGAGCGAGTCTTTACTCGCGTGTTTGATACGATATCTTGTCGTAATTAAAAGGCGTTTTTTTGCTCTTAGTTAGGTGGTTGTTCTTGGAGGAAACGGTTTCGTTGGCTCAGCTATTTGCAAAGCAGCAATCACCAACGGAATTGAAGTTGTAAGTGTCAGCAGGTATATACAAAGTATATAAAACACATTGCTTTACATCAAAAATCTTGACCAATTAATCTCTCCTTTTTCGATTGGTTTTTGACAAATTTTCTTGATTGATTCTTTTAGATCCGGTCGTCCTAACTTCCAAGATTCATGGTTGGATCAAGTTACATGGGTTACTGGTAAAGCACCTCTGTTTTCTTGTTGTGTATCATAGATTCACATAAACATAACCAAGTGTGTGGTTTAATATGTTTTTGTTTTTTTTTTTTTTTTGCTTGTAGGTGATGTTTTCTATTTGAACTGGGATGAAGTGCTTCTCGGTGCTACTTCCGTAGTTTCAACCATTGGTGGTTTTGGAAATGAAGAACAGATGAAAAGAATCAACGGTGAAGCTAACGTCATCGCTGTGAATGCTGCCAAGGATTTCGGTTAAGTATCTTTGTAGCTAATAACACTTTTAGTTAGCTAAAAAGGTTTTTTTTTTCATTTTGAATCTTTTTTTTTGTGTGCGTAGGTATTCCTAAGTTCGTCTTGATTTCAGTTCATGATTACAATCTTCCACCATTTGTTCTCTCCACCGGTTATTTCACTGGTAAACGTAATGCAGAGGCAGAACTTCTTTCCAAATATCCCAACTCCGGTAAAAGATAGCTCCCAGCCACTTTCTTGATTTCGGTTTAGTTTTGGTTTAGTTTGGTTTTCAATGATCTTCATTTCGTTGTTGTTGTTCTTGTAGGAGCTGTGCTGAGACCTGGTTTCATATACGGGAAACGAAAAGTGAACGGGTTCGAAATCCCGCTTGATCTGGTCGGTGAGCCACTAGACAAGATATATGGTGCTGCAGAGAGATTCATTAGACCATTGAGGTCTCTCCCTGCGTCTGATCTCCTCTTGGCTCCACCGGTTAACGTCGATGATCTTGCACTTGCTGTGATTAATGCTGTGAAAGATGATGACTTCTTTGGCATTTTCACTATTGAACAGATCAAAGAAGCAGCTGCCAAAATGAGAGCCTTTACATACTAAATAGCTTCCTTCTTCTTTTCCTCTCCCCTTTTGTCAAATTTTTTGTTGTATATCGTTTGTAAAACTTATTATATGTTTACATCCAAATATCGTTTGAAACATGTATTTGTATTGGAATTGATTAAAAAACTAAGTGAAGATCGCGGATTTGCAAGGGCCACGAAGCTGAGTATTTATTTTTTTGATAATGTTAAAATGCTTATGTATTATGTAAACTTTTTAATTTTTGTAGAGTATTCATATTTATAACATGTATCGTATTAAATCCATAATTTTTGTTAGTTTGATAAATCCATATATTATTAAAACTCATTAATTCGTTATGTGTAAACACCATTATTGTTTTGTATTCTATTTCTTTTATATTTAATAAAATTATTATTTCTCGACAATGAAGCCAATCAATAATAGGTAAACGATTAAACTAAAGTGTCATTTAATAAATGATTAAATAAACCAAAGTGTCATTTAATAAAAAAAATATCAATTTGGAAGCATAAGTAAACCAAATTATCATTTAATAAACGATTAAATCAACCATTTAAATAGTAAAATACTAAACTTAAAAAAAAACTATTGTTTCCCACATTCTGAAAGACTGTTTTGTATACAACGTCCAAAGTTTTGGTTTGTGGCTTACCCATTGTATCTGTTATCAGACTTTTTAAATCAGCTCTTGAAGTAACATATGATATAACTACATAAATTTGTCCATGGAAAAATACCGGTTTTGATAAATACAAGCCAACCTTTTGCAAAGTCTATCCTTGACTTTTATTGATAGTCATTGCATAGGCGATAGCTACCGGAAATTGTCTACGCCTTATTCTAAAAGGAAATCTTGTCTCGGTGGGGAAAACAAACATTCGTGGATCAAGACCTGTTGACCAGTATATTCTCCAGATATGTGGCTAGCTTGAATAACATGTTTGGCTAGTTATGTATGTTCCTCACCTAGAAAAATGATTACGAAGTTTAATTGATGACGTTATGAAGCTCATGTGTAAGATCGTATATATGTATAAAGCGTTAAATATATTAACCTTGTATTCCGACAATATGGGTATCCATATATATATATATAGATGTAACTGCAATAATCAAAGACATTGTTTTAATTCACCCAATAGAAATTCATACTTCAATGAATTATATATACTCATAATCTTTAGTTCAATAATCTAAAACTCATAATCTATAATCTATACTTCAATATACTACAATAATAAATATTTTAATAATCTACATATATATCCTTTATATGTATACTTCATTAATTAGTTAAAAATAGAACCCACCATATAATGTAAGTTATTATTTTTGGCCGCAAAATTTTTATAGAAAACCCTAATATTCACAATCATTCCGTTCTAAGCCGAGACTAACAAAGATTCGTTGCTGATGCTCAAGGGCAGTTTCCGTGAGCAAAGATCACATCATCGGTTACTGAAAGGGTTCGTTACCGCTTATGGCAAAACGCTACCTCAGAATTACGAATTATCAATGGCTTTTTCACGTTATAACCATGTAATTGTATGATTCTCTCACATAACCTATCATATAATCCTGGAGACATAGTATTCTCGGACAATTCATTCGGAAAAGGTATAATTTATATTCCCAGAATTTTTTAAAAACTTTAGATTGAATCTCACTTTTTTGGGTATAAAAAAGGAGAAAAAATATAGAAACTATCTTTATAAGAGAGAATGGAATTGTGTGTCTTAGTCAATGATTACTAAGGGGTATATATAGCATTGTGAAGATTTAGTTTTGACCCCATCTTACCAATGTGGGAATTTTAACAGAACTTAAACTCTAATTTTTAATTACCTTTATAGTTAATATTTTGTTTAAGATACACGCACATGTAGCATATTCCCTAACCAAAACAATCTTCCGAACCTAAATTCCGAACATTCCACAGAGTTCTCCCACGTTCAATTCAATAGTTTCATCATGAGACTAATTTGGTAAAGAAAAAAAAGTCTCAAACAATTAATTCCTTACGATTTCTCTTCTACGAATGAACTTACAAGTTTACACGAGCTCTCTATTAGAAAAAAGTTATTTAGAACCAATTTTTTTTTCATGGCTATGGCTTACAATTCTTAGCTTAGGTATATAGTTGTTTAGCCACGGAAGCGACAAAACAATTCCTAACTATTGCTTCGTAACTAATTTGGTTTTGTGATTTTTCATGGCTAATTTAGCCGCATATAGCCACAACCAGTTTCTTCAATCTCGCCTTCACCATAGAGTTCAGTTACAAAGTAGAAGCAAAGGGATAACTACAAGCGTGTTTTAGAACAAATCTACAACGAACACATGAGTCTGACAACTCCAAACATTGAAACTCTCTCACTCACTAAGAATCTCTTAATTACTTTTTGGCTCAAACACATAAATGACATATGAGCCCGAGTCTTCTTCCTTGAATCATGACCAATTCAAAAGTAATGTCTTCGAAGAATGTATATTTTAATGTAAGCTCTAAATCACAGTTTATACTTTTGTTTAAATTAAATTATTTGGCTAATTAAGTTTCGTTATAGAAGAGCAAAGCATGAATATGAATTCAAGAAAGAACAAAAAACCGAGGATTGGAAGTTAGTAAGAAACTTGTGAACCAATCCAAGCAAACATTATTGTTTTGATGGAAAACAAGGAAACCTAACAAAACACAAGAAAAAACAGAGATTCGGAAAATCTTAGTGGAATAACTAAGAACCAATCATGGTCTCAAAGAAATGGAGTCTTTCAAGCTCATACGCAATATGAATATTAAAGAACACACTACGAATATGAATATTGTTGCATAACACACTTTGTAAGAAAATTTATAGATAGTCCTAATAAAAGTTAGCCTCTGAATAATAACTTTGTTCAATGACATCAGGAAGTACTCCTTGTTAGTGGCCGATATTGTTTTCTTGGTAACCTAAAAAATAGGTAAAAGTTTAAAGACGGACAATTGTAGACAGCCTATATATTGTAAAAGTCGTTATTAGAATATGACTAACATAGTAACGAAATCATCCACTTCTGTTACGAGAGGATTTATGTGAACACGCATTGGTCCGACATATGAAATAGTAGCCTTTCCTATAATTGCAGATGAATATTAGTTGAAAAAGATTTGGGATATGAAAATAATATAGTCGATGATGTTTAGTACCTTGAAAGAAAACAATTATTGCCCATCGAAAAATGCAGACTACAACTTCACCACAACAATTTCTCCATTCATTGTAAAACTTGGAAGCCATATCACCAAATAACTCACAATTCAAACACACGCCCCTATTTAGGAGTTTCTGTTTTGTCAATAGGAGTCATTAGAGATATCAAATTTGTGTAAAGGAAATCGATAATCAGTCATAGTAATTGTGAAGATGCAAACAAAGCTGGAGCAGCACGTGTAGCAGTCTGACTAGCTCTGGAGCTGACACGGGAAGACTTGCAAAGCAATCTACAGAGGTGGAGGTGAGCTGGAAGCTGAGCTGGAGCTGCAGGACGTGTTGGACACTTCAAGAGACGAGAAGCTGACGTGGATAGGAAGCTTGGAGTATCTTGGAGGATATTTGAAGAAAATATCAAGTTTCTTCTATCTTAGGAGAAGATAAGGAATGTGAAGATTCTCATGGAGATTTGGAGAAATCGCAAGGAGAGTCTGGGCTAGGGTTGGCCGCAAGTCCTATCTTGTATAAATAGGCGTGTGAAAACCTTGTAGGGTTTTTAACACAACTGAGAGAATTCTTAGCAAAGGGTGAGCGAAATTCTGTGAGAGTTTTAGTGAGTTAGTGTGCTAAGGGATCTGGGTGAGAGGTTCTTGAATCACGTATCGATTCAAGAACATGTGAGGCTAGTGTAGCAAATCAAGGTGTGTCTTGAGGTTGCTCTAAATCGGGTTCTGTATACTTGTAAGTTACAAACAGATTTACTAGTGAAATATTCTTGAAGAGAAAATTCATGTGTTGTGTTCTGTTCTAGTTCCCGTATTACTACTCTTGCATTTTCAAATTGCACCTTGTATTCTTCAAACGAAATTTCAGTATCTTGAAGCCATAGTTATGGTTCTTTCGTGAAGCTGTGGTCTTTGTAAATCCTTTGGGTATTTCTAATTTCCCAACATCTAAGTTCCCCAATTAATTCTGCAAGAAACATGAAACAATAAGCAATACCTTTTAAGTTCGTGCATTTATATCATAACATGGTATACCGTACTTCTATTTTAAAAATAGAACAATTGAAAAACTTACCCACTAAATAATCATCCGAATACTTTCGATTGATAATGTCTTCAAATTCAATGAATTTGAAAAAATCACGTCCACAAGGGTTGAAAATATTGGAAACAATTGTGTTTGTTCTCAAAAATCAATTTGGACATATGATTCGTAGGTCGACAACAACCAGTTTCAGGAACAACATCGAAGTGTTGGATCATCATCTAGTTTCCTTCGTATAAACTTCTTGAGAAATATTCATAATCCAAGATAGAAGTAGTAGCATAGATCACCTGTTAGATCCATTGGAAGGTATGATTCTAAAAGATTGAGCCGATCAGCTATATTTTGCAGGATGAAATCTAGGTTTAAGAAAAAATAAAGAAGGTGAGGTTAATTTATGTTTTCGGAAAAAAGAATGAAGCTATCTATAGAAATATCGAACATAAGAAAATAGTAGACAATAATAATAACAACAATACATATAGTGTAGCTATCTATACAAAGAAACGCAATTTAATTTAAAAAAAGAAGCTATGAATAAGAAAGATATAAAAGATGCTGCTAAACAAAATTAAGAAGAGAAAGTAGACCTTAAAGAACGATGAGTGTAGTACGTAAAAAACATATGTAGAATAATATATATAGTGTAGGATAGATGCTTTAGGGTTTAAAGTATTTTTGTTGGTGGCTCATTTAACATTTTCGGTTTGGTGGCCCATTTAATAGTTTTGGTGGTTATGGCCGATAATTAAACCGTAAACCGCAGTCCTATTAACCAATTTGATAGCCCGTAATCGATGAAAAAATCATATCACCTATATTGACATAAATGATTAATGATCATCTTATTAGAATTAAGAAAAATGACACATATATAAATTATAATATGACAGATAAACAAATTGCTCTATAGACGACACGTATAATTCTTGACTTCGCAAATAATAGTATATATTATAACATTTATTCGTTTTTGGAATCAACTAGCCCAATTTAAACCACTTGCCCACAGGCTAATATAAACAATGAATTGGGTACTATTTTAGAAAAAAATGCAAACAAAAATTTCTAACTACTAAAAAATTCTATTTGCTAGACCACACTATAAAACTTTATATTCATTAGAAACACAGTGGATACTATGTAGATCTCTAGGCAAGAAAAAATGATTTTTTTAATTCCATAGTTATCTTCCATTCCAAATTGGCCCCTTTTACACATCAATTCACATCTTATCATGGTCCGTCTCCGTCTATAAACACTTATAATAATTTTATAATTTTGTCCCCTCGTTACATTAATATTAAATTATTCTCCTCATGATAATATTATTCCGTTTTTTTAATTCGACCATATCTATCTCTCCGTGTATTGACCGCCTCACCAAAATATCATCATCCAATCAGATTTCGACTTTGACTCTTAATTAGTGAACGCCGTGTCGTTTTATCATAACTCGAATGATTTGCTTTTCGTCCAAGCAAATTTTTGGTCAGGAGAAGAGGAAAACTCAGGAACCGCCGACTTAAGCTTTTTTTTTTTTTTCTTCTTCAATCAATTATCGTCGAAGATACTTATATAATGAGTCGTCTCCTTCGAAACTGTTTCTTCTTCGTCATCGCCGGCTTAGGGTTTTCTTCTCTATAAGCATATATACCTACTAATCGTCTTATCTCCCCTTCTGATTTAGCTTTTGCTTTCGTTGAAAACCCTTGCCTCAGCGATCGATCTGGAAACTTCATCAGGTTTATTTTTGTTTTCTTTTGTATAATTTCTTCGCATACTGATTCCTATTTTACTCCTGGATTTTCGTGAGGTGGTGTATGATTTTTTTTTTAAAAAAAAATTCGGGGTAGATCGGCTTAGATTCGTATGATTCCGAGACGTTTTGAGTTGATTGGGTTTAATTGATGGATTATTTGTGTGAGTTTTGTCTACGATCTGCGTTTTCAGTCTCTGATTTGTTTTTTTTTTTTTGGGGTTAAATTATTGACGGAAAAAAATTTATGAGAACCTGCGATTGACTTGTTTCGATTTGATGGATTCTCTGAAGCCAATGATCTCAAAGTTTGTAGAAACTTGAAAGCTAAAATTTGATGGCTTGAATTGCAGGAACTGTTTTGCCGGCGCCTGTAAAAATCGAATAAGACGGTGGCATTTCTTCTCTGATTGTGTTTATTTCTATCACAAAGAAGATGAACACACATGTATCTATCTATCAGGCTCTAATTCTTACTGTTAGGTGAGTTTTAAAGCTCATGGTTTTTGCTGAGTTAGTGAATGAGTTGCATGTTTTTGATTGTTTGCTTAATATCTAAACCATTTCCATTTCTTTTGTGCAGTGTTCTGTAATGCTTTCGGCGAGACACTATCTTTAGGACAGCTAGGGAGTTTACAGTTGACTTTTTCTTTCGAGGTTATAGGTTTAGCGTTGTTAATATCTAGAAATGGAAACCAAGATCGTCAAGGTGTTGGATAGTAGGTGTGAAGATGGATTCGGGAAGAAGAGGAAGCGCGCAGCAAGCTATGCTGCATATGTTAATGGAGCATCGTGTGCAAAGCTGCAACATGTGCCCCCACCGAACGCTCAGTGCCAAACTCCTGACAAAAGGAGAAAATTGGAAGGTGAAAACAAGCTTAGTGCTTACGAGAATCGCTCTGGGAAGTCACTGGTCAGATACTACTCTTACTTTAAGAAGACGGGAATCGCAAAGCGTGTTATGATCTACGAGAAGGGTGAATGGAATGATTTGCCTGATCATGTTATCTGTGCCATACGAAATGAATTAGCTGAAAAGAGGGCAGCAATTGAGTTTGAGTCGTGTGGTCATCATTTTCTTTTCGACTTCTTGCACATGCATAGGCTAGACTTGGAAACTGGGGCAAAAACCCCGCTTGCATGGATTGACGTTGGAGGAAAATGTTTTTTCCCTGAAATTTACGAGAGTGATGAGAGGAACGATTGCTGCCATCATAACTGTGTGGAAGATTCGAAACAATATGCTCCGCATGAGATCAAGTTACGCCTTGAGATTGATGTTAACGGTGCGGAGTCACCTAGGTTGAATTTGGAGGAGTGCAGTGATGAATCCGGTGACAATATGGACAATGTTCCAGCAGAGGATAGCTCCAGCCGCAAGCTTGAAGCTGCTGTTTCGAAATGGGATGAGACCGATGCTATGGCAGTATCTGGTCTCAAGCCTGCTGGATCTCAAGGACTTGATAAAGATTCGGTTATGAAAATGTTTGCTATAGGTACTGCTTCTCTAGGGCACGTAGCGGTGCTGGACGTGGGCCGTTTTTCCAGTGAGATTGCTGAAGCTCGTCTAGCGCTTTTCCAGAAGCAGGTTGAGATTACTAAGAAACATCGAGGGGATGCAAACGTTAGATACGCATGGCTTCCTGCAAAGAGGGAAGTTTTATCTGCGGTTATGGTTCAGGGACTTGGAGTTGGTGGTGCGTTTATTAGAAAGTCTATCTACGGTGTTGGGATTCATTTGACTGCTGCAGACTGCCCTTATTTCAGGTTTTCCCTTGCTCTGTCACTGATATTCCCTCATCTTAGTTAATCTCCTATCTACTTTGCTGAAACTTGTTTTCAGTGCTAGGTACTGTGATATTGACGAAAACGGAGTACGGTACATGGTATTATGCCGTGTTATAATGGGGAACATGGAGCTTCTTCGTGGTGATAAAGCTCAGTTTTTTTCTGGTGGAGAAGAGTATGACAACGGAGTCGATGATGTGGAGAATCCGAAGAATTACATTGTCTGGAACATCAATATGAACACTCATATATTCCCGGAATTTGTCGTTAGGTTCAAGCTGTCTGTTCCCTCCAATGCTGAAGGTGATTAGTTTGTTTCCTTTTTCATTCCTCACGTGTAGTTTTTCACAAATTAAATCAAACTGATGACGCATTGAAAGGGAGACAGCTTAGAGATCTGGCTGAAGCTCAGGTCTCAGTTGATAAATTTTGAAAAAAGGATCCATGTGTGTGATAAAAACCTAACGACCTCCGGTGTTATTAACACATTTTGGTTTCAAGAGACAAGTCTCTGATTTCATCATCCGGGGGTCGGGTGGAGATACTCACGGCTAAAATTGGGTATTTCGATCCATCACATTGTGTTTTGTTCAGTAAAAGAAACCGATGACATACACTGGTTTCTGCAGGTAATTTGGTTGCTGCTAAGCATGATAACTCGGGGGTCACTTTGGAAGGACCCAAGGATCATCATCCTCCACAGTTAGAGTCAAACGTGAGTTTTGGTTCTTTAGTGTTCCCCTTTGTTATGATCTTATGAAAGGAATTAAAACAACTATAACTTTGGTTGTTGTGTGCGTTAAATAACAGGGACAAGGAGGAGGTTCAGGGAGCGCAAACAGTGTCGGTTCGAGCACTACAAGACCCAAATCTCCATGGATGCCTTTTCCTACACTGTTTGCAGCAATCTCACATAAGATTGCAGAGAAAGATATGTCCCTCATCAATGCTGACTACCAACAACTGAGGGTAGAAACTGATTTAAAAGAGAGTTTGCTAATATAAATATATTGAGAATTGCAGGAGAGCTGAAATTAAAAAAATATGTTTTGCAGGAAAAGAAAATGACTAGAGCCGAGTTTGTGAAGAAACTCAGGGTGATTGTAGGAGATGATCTACTTAGGTCCACCATTACAGCTCTTCAAAACCAGGCAAGTTGGTTGTAGTAGAGATTTTCTTTATAGAAAGTGAAATCATAAGTTAATAACACGAGGAGATTGTTTTGTTTTTTTGTTTTTTTTGTTTTTTGTTTACTTCAGCCAAAGATGAAGAAGGAGATTCCTGGAAGCATCAGAGACGATGAAGATGCAGGTGGGTTTGTAAAGTAAAGTGGGGGATGGTGATATGATGATGACGAATATCAAAAGGAAACTGCTTTTTATATCTACCCGCCTTTGTGGTTCTCCTTTTGACTTTTATATAAACCTTTTATCTAATTTTTAGTTTTTGGGTCTGGGTCTGGGTTTAAGAGTCTAATGTGCCGACTATTCTGTCGAGATAAAATCGTACTTTTATATTATATAATATGATTTACTTAAGACAATGATTGTCGTTGGGTCTTTTTAAGCTGGCAAAACCTTGTTGTGCAAGTCGTTGAATCTTGACCGAAATTTGGTCGTCGAGTCTATTGTCAAACTTCTCTTTCTCTTTGTTCTGTTGGCTTATTTATTTATGATATGGCATCTTTTGTGAGATTGAGATTGCTACTCAAGACTTTTCCTTTGTAAGACTTGTCTCTCACCCGCAACCCCACTTGTAGAAAGTTGAACATTCAGAAAACATCCCATGTCTCTCTAATGAGAACCAGTCTCTCTAACTCATATTAGACGACTTGTTTCACGTCCTTTACATGGTCTAGAATCTAGATAGATGTAAATTCTATCATCCTCAGAACGCTTTTATTCCTTTTATTTGAACTCTTACGATGCTGTTTTCTCTCGGTGTTGCAGTAAAAAAAGGCAGAAAGGCATGGTTATTTTCAGTTGTGGACAACACAATTTCCTAGTTCTCGACATTTGGGTATAGATTTCGTTGATATCGAGATTTATTTTAAGAACTTGGGAAGTGAGTACATCTTTTTAACCTAACCCTTATAAATTGCAATCTCTATGGAGAGATTCCTTCTTCAATAGCAAGCCTTTTTTGTCTCACAAAACTTACCCTTCTCGATAATAGTTTAGTAGGTCAAGTTCCACCTTCAGTTGGAAACCTAACCCAACTAAAGAACCTACCAAAACAAGTACTTCATTTGCGAATTTAAGAAATCTATACCTATTCTACATCCACGATAATTACTTTCAAATCCCCACTCTCACCTAACATAAGTGCATTCCACAGATTTTGTTGTGGGTACAAACTCATTTTCCGGGCCTTTTCCTATGTCTGTGTTCACAAATCCTTCGTTAATATACGTTGATTTAGAGGAAAGCCAGTTCACAGGACCTATAGGGTTTAGGAATACATCTTCTAGGCTCAAGTATATATAAACATTGCTAATAACAAATTTGATGCAACAGAATCAAGGACAAGGCAGTTCTGTGGAATGCTGATTGGTGTGATTGGACATATCTTTGATTCACGCAAACAGAAGTAGTTCATGGAACTGTGTTTGTTTGAGTATCTGTGTTCGAAAGTGTGAATGTTCAAGAGCAACCAAATATTTGTTTGAGTAGTGATGCTGGCCCTAGTCATTTGAATGAACATGATAATGTGTCAAGTGCATTTTTGATTGATATTTATGATCCGAGATGTTGGGAAAGTCTTGACAATAAAAGGAGAGATGCATTAGTTGAATTAGAACCTAAAAAACAATTGAATTTGGTATTTCCTTTTGATAAAAACAACAAACATTTTTCATATGAGAATTATTCTAGTAAATTAAGTAATGGTGAAACTTGTGATTGAAATTGGTTGGTTTATTCAAAGCAAATGAATAAAGTTTATTGTTTTGTTGCAAGTTGTTTAAATCTCGTGGTTACTCAAGTGTATTAGCAAATGATGGATTTAATGATTGGAAACATCTTAGTGAGAGGCTGAAACAACATGAAAAAAAGTGTAAAGCATATGACTAATATGAAAACTTGGAATGAGCTGAAAGTTAGATTTGAGAAAAACCAAACTATTGATAAAGAATTGCAAAAAGAAATTGCTAAAGAGAAAGAACGATGGAGACTAGTTTTGGTTAGGATTATTCTTGTTGTGAAATATCTTGCTAAAATAAATTTAGCTTTTCGTGGGTCAAATGAGAAACTTTACCAAGACAGTAATGGCAACTTTTGGGTATGATTGAATCGATTGCTGAATTTGATTTGGTAATGCAAGATCATATTAGACGTATTCAAAGTCATGAAATTCATCATCATTATCTTGGTCATAGAATTCAGAATGAGTTGATTTCTGTTTTGGCACATAAAGTTCAAGTTTCTATAGTTAACATAATTAAGGAGGCCAAATATTTCTCTGTCATTCTTGATTGTACACCGGATGTGAGTCATCAAGAGCAAATGACTTTAATTGTCCGATGTGTTAGGCTGTTAAATAGAAAGATAGCAGTAGAAGAGTATTTTTTTGAGTTTCTAGTGTAGATGATACTTCTGGATTAGGTCTCTTTGCTAGAATAATAGATGTGCTCAAATCTTTCAATCTTGATGTTGATAATATTAGAGGCCAAGGGTATGATAATGGTTCAAATATGAAAGGAAAACATCAAGGTGTTCAAAAAAAGATTGTTTGAAATTAATCCTAAAGCATTATTTATGCCATGTGCTTGTCATAGTCTTAATCTTGTGGTTAGTGATATGGCACATTCTTGTGTGAAGGCTATTTCTTTTTTTGGAATTTTGCAACGTATATATGTTTTGTTTTCTAGTTCTACAAAAAGATAGAAGTTTTTATGTGATCATGTTCCTTACTTGACTGTCAAATCTTTGTCTAATACACGTTGGGAGAGTCGTATCAAAAGTGTGAAAGCTATTAGGTTTCAAGCTCCTCAAGTACGATTAGCTTTATCTGATTTATTTGAATCTTGTGATGATGCCATAACAAAAAGTGAAGCTGAAAGTTTAATTGGGTCACTTGAGAATTTTGAGCTTTTATTTGGCATGACTATTTGGTATGAAATTTTGTTTGTTATGAACACTGTAAGCAAGAATTTACAATCCAAGCCTATGTGCATCGACATTGCTTTAAAACAATTGGAAAGTATAATGCTATTTTTTGAAAAGTTTAGAGATGAAGGGTTTAGTTCTTGTTTGAAAGCAGCTCAATGTCTTGCTCATGATATGGACATTGATCCTATATTTCCAAATAAACGCCCTGTTTAGAAAAAAAAACAATTTGATGAGAATGGTTCTGATGAAGAATTATCAGCTGAAGTCTTTTAGAGTAAATTATTTTCTTATTGTTGTGGACATGACAATTGTTTCAGTGCAAAACCGGTTTGAATAAATGACTACATTTAAAAGTGTCTTTGGATTTTTGTTTGACTCATTGAAACTAAAGTCACTCGATGAAAATGAATTAAGAGAGTATTGCATTAATTTTCACAAAACATTTTCTCATGGCATTGTATCTGATGTTGATCTAGATTGCTTTTTTCTGAGTTGAAAATGTTGCAAATGAATTTACTGGAAGTGCCTATGACACCTAGTGAAGTGCTTGAGTATGTTGAAAGTCTACATTGTTATCCAAATGTTTTAATTGCTTATCGACTTCTTCTAACTACACCTATCACTGTTGCATCAGCTGAGAGAAGTTTCTCAAAGTTAAAGTTATTGAAAAATTATATGAGATCTTCTATGTTCTAAGAACGTTTGAATGGTTTAGCAATTTTGTGCATTAAAAAAAAATATGTTAGAGGACATTGATTTTGAAACTGTTATTCATGATTTTGCATCTAGTAAAGCTCGGAAGAATTGTTTCATATGATTATTTTTCTTTTCAGAATAACTGTTGAGTTTTTTTTTATTAGGTGAACTTCGGTGGAGATAGATAGAAAAGAAAGCTCAAGAAATGAAGTGAAAAAGTTTTTTTTAACATGTGTTGGCGGTTGTTTTTGTATCTCGCCCTAGGGGTTGTAAAATGTTTGGGCCGGGGCTGATGGTGATTGGACATATCTTTGGTTCACACAAACAGAAGTAGTTCATGGAACACTTTACTCGAAACAAGCCAAGAGCGGTTATCACTAGGACTCACTAATTAAAGCCCATCTCTTTCAGTATCTCCAAGTGTTTTGGAAACATGTGTGTTTGTAATAAAAAATTTGTTCAGATATGCATGTGTTCTCTAAAAGCTCGTTGTGTTTGTAATTTTTTCTGTTCTATGGTTATGTGATCATCCTAATAATTGGGGTTTTTTTTTTTGTTCTTTCAAATAATAACAATCGTAATATTTGGTGGTATTTGATGTTCTCGGTTTCTTAAATCGAGATATTCGACCATATATCTAAGGTTAATGTTCATATGCACGTACTTTCCCTTTTGGTAATATAGGCATTACCAACTTTTTGGCATTGCAGTCAAATGAAGCACCCTGTAGTCCCTTGGATTTCTATGGTTTACAATTTATTATCAACAAGCTCCAGGTCTAGAATACGATCCATCGTGGCCTTTACATTTGTAATACGGTTGTTAGAAGAGCATATCTATCATCTAGAGTATATATGGTTCTCTCTAAAAAAACATCTTGACTAGTTCAATATCACCTCAAGTGTCATATATACCTATCTTAAACCTTTTTCTTGTTCAGTTGGTTCCAAACCAATTTTTTGGATGTCAATTATCTCATTATCTGTTTGACAATGTGTTTCGACCTTTACCCTCTTGTTCTCGGTCTTCTTTGGGTGATATTTCTCTTGACCTCCAGGAGCTCTCCTAATCTCATAGCTCTGGCTACATCATTTTGAGTGCGTTATAGTTATCTTTTTCACAGTTGTCAGCAAGCTTGAGTATGACCAAGATGTCATTTGCAAATTTTGTCTACAATATCCAGTGAGTGCTTTAGAATTCTGTAGCGCAAATCATCTAAAGCTATCGCTTAGGACTGCCGTTATAACTATTTTTTTTTAGTCTTTCGTATTCTTACAGTTTCTTTATAATCATCTCTTTTGGTTTTAATGTTTAAAATCTAAACCTAGAATTTCAATTTTTTGTCATTTACTTGTTTTTTTTTTTGCTTGTGTTTTACTTATATTTTTCTATTTGCTTATTTTTTGTCGACTTGTTATCTTTCTTTCTTATTTTATATTTTCATTCATTATAAAATCTTGATAGATTTGTACTCAAGAATAATATATCACTAAATTTAATAGAAAAGCTTAATTTGATGTTTTGAGAAAAAAAAATGATATAACTATATTGATTTCAGAAACTATTATCATTAAAATCTTTATTTGGGATCGGATATGATGAAAGATAAATTAAGTTTTTGGACAAAAATTTTTTACCTAAATGAGGATAACTAATTCTTTCATGTGGAAAATGAATGTTAAATCGAGAACCTTCATCATGAATTCCACAGCCAGACAGAAGACCAGCTGAGAGCAATTAATTGTTCTACTTTCCATATCATATATATAGGAATACAGGTCCGATTATGGACTTCATGGTCTGGTACTGTTCAAACTCTGCAATTTTTTCTTACAATTTTATTTGTTAATGGACTCGACAACTAAAGAAATCCTTACATCAAAAACA